CTTATGTAGATTTTAGTATCTATGAGCAGTAGATTTGCAGCCCACTAATTTGTTTTAAAACTACATTAGCATTTTATAACTTTGAAATCACAAAGACCTTAAAAATAATTGTTTATATAATGTCCTACTTACATGCTGGTGAGTTTATAGGCTATTTTAGATCAGCTTATAATATTAATGAGCACTGTTCTCATTACTTTTGTGTGTGTGTGCGAATCATGAGTTTTGTGCATAAATTTATAAAGCTTTCCAAATAACAAAGCATTTAAATAACTTTAAAGGTTAAAAATATTATCTCTGCCATTGCATTTATTGTGTTCCTAGCACTGTAGAAATTGTATTCTCTCTCTTTTTTTTTTTTTTGTATGTTCTAACTTGGTAAATGTAGGTATTGGCTTTGAGAATAGTTAAGAAATCTTTAGCTTATCAATAGCTTTATCTGACATGTATACATCAGCCTTGCTAAGAAACCCCAAAGAGACACCTACCTACACATTTGCCTACCCTTCAGTGCCTTTCCACCTCTCTCTCACCTTTGAGCCCTCTAGCCTTACTTAACTCAGTTCTGTAGTTATTTACTTATTCTTTTCTACCAGAGACATTTTTACTGAACCCCTATTCATAGACCAAGCTCTGTTCTAGACAACAGGGATATGCTGGTAGATAAAAGGTGATCCCTTTTGGATTAAATTTAATTATGTGTCATAAATCCTATCATAGTGAGAGGTACAAAGTACTTTGGGGGAACAGGAGTTTAAAAAGTCAGTTCTGCTTGGGCATTGTAGACAACTTAGGAGAAGATTGAGTACAGACAGTCCCCAACTCAGGCGAGTTCAACTTTATGATAGTGCCAAAGTGATATGCATTCATTAGGAACTGTACTTCAAAATTTGAATTTTGATCTTTAAAAAATTTTTTAATTTTTCTATTGATTTTTAGAGAGAGAGGAAGGGAGAGGGAAAGAGATAGAAACATAGATGAGAGCCCTGGCCAGTTTGGTTCAGAGGTTAGCGCGTTGGCCCGCAGACCAAAGAGTCACGGGTTCAATTCTGGCCAGGGGTACGTACTTCAGTTGTGGTTCGTCTCTGGCCCTGATTGGGGTTGTGTGGGTGGCAACCAATCGATGTGTCTCTCTTACATCAATGTTTTTCTCTCTTCCTCCCTCTCTCCCTCTCTATCTGAAGATAAATATAAAAATACCCTCGAGTGAGGATACAAAAAAAAAAAAAGAAAAAGAAACATCAATGAGAGAGAACATTGATTGGCTGCCTCCTGCATGCCCCTCACTGGGGTGCCCCGACCAGGAATCGAACTGGCAACCTCTTGGTGCATGGGTCGACGCTCAACCACTGAGCCTCAATTTTGGCTAGGCTGAATTTTGATCTTTTTCCTGGGTTAGCACTGTGCAGTACAGTATTCTCTTGTGGTGCAGTACAGTGTCAGCGAGATGGCTTTGCCCAGCTGTAGCTAGTGTGTGTCCCAGCATGTTTTCGGTAGGCTAGACTAAGCCATGATCTCTGGCAGGTTAGGTATATTGAGTGCATTGTCCACTTAAGATATTTTCGGCATACAGTGGGTTTATCAGGACATACCAGTTGAGCAGCATTTGTACGTGGACTGGACTCCTAGAGAGAAAAAGAGCAGGGGGCTGGGGATGAGAGTCGGTGGAAAGAATAGAATGACTTCATTGTAATCATTCTTGGTCCAGAGACTTGGTGGTCATCTTCATTTCCTACTTCATCCTCGTGAGCAGTGTAACCAAAAGTACTGTGGTAGAATCCTTTCATCAGCTATGGTATTGTACTGCATTTTGATTAGATCATTTGAGTTAGGTTTTCCATTCAAAAGGAATAATAGGCGACCTAAGATGGAGGGTCATTAGGGTAGGGCATTGCCTAGTTATATTTGGCTTCCTATGTCTTTGAATAGACCTAACTCTGCTGTGGAGGTCACATACATTTTTCATTTTTCTTAGTTCTTTCTAACTTATCTCAAGACTTATTGTACATAAAAAACTGTTTTGTTTGAGGTATTTTATTTTGGAGTGTTATTTTTTTCTCAAAATTGATTTAGTTGTGGTTAAGGGGAAAAACTGAAGAGGCACCTCTCATGGAGACTCTTATTTCCAAAGAGGTTCAGACTCTACAAAGAAAATTACTATAGAAAGAAGCAGTCTAGCTAAGAGTCTTCATGTCCTTGAATTTCATCCTCAAGAACACTTATCCTAGAAAATGACTTGACTGGCCAAAGGCATCATTATAGGAAGAAGGTGGGAACAGGCATTAGGTTAGAACATTTCAAGTTATGACCAGAATAAAATAAACTATAGCTATCAGAAGTTGGTCTTTTAAAAGGATCCCTCTAAAATGCTAGGCTCCATTAAATAAAGATGATCATTTTTATTTTTTATTTTTTTATCCTCACCCAAGGACATTTTTTCATTTATCTTCAGATAGAGCAGGAGGGAGAGAGGAGGAAGAGAGAGAAATATCGATGTGAGAGAGACACATCAACTGATTGCCACCCACACGACCCCAACGAGGGCCCACAAACTGCAGCTGAGGTACATGCCCTTAGCGGGAACTGAACCTGGGACTCTGTGGTCTGCAGGCCGACACTGTAATTGCTGAGACAAACCGGCCAGGGCAAGATGATCATTTTTAGAATTCCAGGTCCATTCATGCTGTCGCAAAGGGTAAGATTTTCTTCCTTTTTATGGCCAAGTAGTATTCCATTGTATAAATGTACTACAGCTTTGTATCCACTTATCTACTGATGGATGGACACTTGGGCTGCTTCCAAATCTTGCCTGTTGTAAATAGTACTGCAATGAACATGGGGATGCATATATTCTTTTGAATTATTGTTTCATGTTTCTCTGGATAATTCTTAGAAGTGAAATCACTGGGTCATAGGCAGTTCCGTTTTTAATGTCTGGAGTACAGTAAACCCTCAATTTTGCAGACCTCAATTTAACGGACTTCAGTTTTAACAAAGGAAATGTCCAGTCCATGTGTCCTGTGAAAATTAACAACCTGTTAATTTTGAAATGCTTAAATTTGCTTATAATCAAAAGGTTATTTTGTTATTAAAAAAAAAAAAATTCCAGTTTTTATCTTGACAAATGGTTGCTATAAATCTAACCACCAATATGGAGAGAAATCATATATGTGGTGCTCTTACCATTTCTTGTGTTACAGAGCTTGTGACTATACCATCTAAACAGGGTGTGTGATCCCTGCTCAAGTGCCATTGAGTCCCACTAAAATAGGTTGTAGGAACTCTTGATTGCCACACTTTTCTCGCCCCTCACCAACTTCTTTGCTTATTTTCCCTCTCTTCTTGGACTACATTTCAGTGGCAGGAAGAATGAGAATAGCTTTTCAGCTCCTGAATATAATATACTCACTTTGCCAAGATTTGGTATTCTGAAACTGAGAGCACTTTGCTCTCTTAGAAGAAGAGGAGAGCTTTGAAGAATCCTTATATGGTTATAGTTCTAGTAATAAGGGGAGAGAAAGTGCCATTATTTTTATTTGCATTTTTGTAGTTTATTAGGGTATATATTTTATCAGATATAAAATTTATATGTCCTGAGAAACTTAAAAGGAAGTTCATAAGAATGACCAGAAAAATGCAGTGCAGGTCAGGCATATTGATCCTGTGTTGTACTAGCTAATATAGTTGACCCCTGAACCACAGGTGTGAACTGTGTAGGTCAACTGAGCAAAATCCATATATAAGTGGGCACACACAGTTCAAACCCCTGTTGTTCAAGGGCAGCCATATTTTATTTTACTGTTTTAATCAATGATCTTTGTGCATGGGTTAACATTTTCCACTCTAAAGACATTTAAGATATATTTTCATTCTAATAGAAGGCTACGCCATCACCTTTGTACTTGAAAAATGGTTTTTAATCAGGACTCTCAACCACAGACTTTCCTTTGGCATGGAAAAGAGGTAACAGCCTCCCCCGGGGAGTTTCTGGTATTGTACTAGCTCACCTGGTCCCCTTGCCCCTGTGCTGTGACTTCTCCACATTGTAGATCACGGTGGTGACTGGCATTAAAGCATTGGGACCCTTTTCACATAGAAGGTTCTCAAACTGAATGTGATGTAGAACAGGAGCCTCACTTTCGCATGTGCAAGGAAATGGTGCAGGGGACCACTGCGAGACAATGCGCAGCTCCGTCTCTTCTGGCATAGGACAGTTCAAACAATTGAATCTTATTTTCATCTGTATTTAATGAAAGCATTTTTACTTGGCATACATACTAAAATACAAAATCAGGGTTGGCCAATTATACACATTAAATTTTGAATTGAATTCATGTTTGTAAAACTTCAATTCGAGAATAAGTACTCTGTAGGCCTTTGTGAGGTCTTGCGAGCTGGGCCTGCCCTGCGCAGCCGCAGTACCACGCGGGAAAAGGGGGGGCGGCATCCAACAGCCTCGCGCAGACACTACTACGCTGAGGGGATGCCCAACGGCCCTCAGCCTCGCGCAGACGCAGTGCCACTCTGAGGGATGTCTAACGGCCCTGAGCCTTGCGCAGGCGCAGCACCACTCTGAGGGATGTCTAACGGCCCTCAGCCTTGCGCAGGCGCAGTGCCACTCTGAGGGATGTCTAACGGCCCTGAGCCTTGCGCAGGCGCAGCACCACTCTGAGGGATGTCTAACGGCCCTCAGCCTCGCGCAGACGCAGTGCCACTCTGAGGGATGTCTAACGGCCCTGAGCCTTGCGCAGGCGCAGCACCACTCTGAGGGATGTCTAACGGCCCTCAGCCTTGCGCAGGCGCAGTGCCACTCTGAGGGATATCTAACGACCCTCAGCCTCGCGCAGACGCAGTGCCACTCTGAGGGATGTCTAACGGCCCTCAGCCTTGCACAGGCGCAGTGCCACGCCGAGGAGGTGGCCGAGAATCGCAAGCTCCCCTCCTTCTCGTCTCAAACCTTGCCTGCCGTGGTCTGTTGTTTTCCCCCACCTTTTGAGTGAATGGCCATGAGCCGGGCTGTGGGAGTCCTGTTGGCCAACCGGAGAGTGGGCACTGCGGGAGCTAGCTTCCTGAGTCTGAGGATGGCACCGTGCCAGGCAGCTGGCATCCCACTCAGGGGCCCTTGGCCCGGTGTCCCGGTGTCCAGGCCGGCGACTGTCAGGAGTGAGCTTATGCAGAGTGTCACTTCAGAGGAGGCCGTTCGCCACAATAAGGTGTCCATCATAGGAACTGGATCGGTCGGCATGGCCTGTGCTATCAGCATCCTGCTGAGAGGGCTGAGCGATGAACTTGCCTTGCTGGATGTTTCTGAAAACAAACTAAAGGGCGAAACAATGGATCTTCAACATGGCAGTCCTTTAATAAAAATGCCAAATATTGTTGCCAGCAAAGATTACCTTGTCACTGCAAACTCCAGCCTCGTGATTGTCACAGCAGGTGCACGCCAGAAACCGGGGGAAACACGCCTGGATTTAATCCAGCGAAATGTGCCCATCTTCGAAGTCATGATTTCTAATATTATCCAGTACAGCCCTCACTGCAAGCTGATTGTGGTTACCAATCCAGTAGATATCTTAACTTATATAGCCTGGAAGTTGAGTGCATTTCCCCAAAACCGTATTATCGGAAGTGGTTGTAATTTGGACACTGCCCGTTTTCGTTTCTTGATTGGTCACAAGCTTGGTATCCACTCTGAAAGCTGCCACGGGTGGGTCCTTGGAGAGCACGGAGACTCCAGTGTTCCAGTGTGGAGTGGAGTGAATGTCGCTGGTGTCCCTCTGAAGGAGCTGAACTCAGATATAGGGACTAATAAAGATCCTGAGCACTGGGAAAATGTCCACAAAGATGTGATTGCCAGCGCCTATAAGATTATTAAAATGAAAGGTTATACCAATTGGGCCATTGGCCTTTCTGTAGCTGATTTAACAGAAAGTGTTTTGAAGAATCTTAAAAGAGTGCATCCAGTTTCCACCATGATTCAGGGTTTCTATGGAATAAATGAAGAAGTGTTCCTCAGTATTCCTTGTGTCCTGGGAGAGAAGGGTATTACAGATCGTATAAAGGTCAAACTGACCTCTGAGGAACAGGCTCGTCTGAGGAAGAGTGCAGAAACTCTTTGGAAGATTCAGAAGAACCTCAAGTTGAAAAGTTAAAACTACCATTCTGAAGTTACTGGAAAAAAAACAGTAATGGGTTGTATATGTCAAATTCTTAAATAAACTTAGATTCCTAAAAGTTGGAAACAGGAAAGAGTGGAGTGACTCCCGTTTATTTAGTATGCCAGCTCTTTGATTTAGCATCCCGTTGTGTGGTTTATTTTTCTTAACAATTTCTAAGTGACTGCATCAAAGGTGTTTTTGTACCACTGATGTGCCAATACTTACCTTGAATTTATATGTAGTTGCCATTTGGTCCAAAAGAATGTGGGGTATAAGTGTTTATTGTGTTGTAGAAATTGATTCTTTTCATTAAGTACATGTTAATTCTGGCTGGCTTATGTACTATTAATTTATATACCATTTTTTAAAAGTTGTGCCCTGGTTGGTTTGGCTCAGCAGTTAGAGCATCGGCCTGTGGACCAATGAGTCTTAGGTTCAGTTCTGGTCAAGGGCATGTACCTCGGTTGCAGTTTGTCCCCAGCCCTGGTCAGCGTCATGCAGGAGGCAATCCATGTGTCTCTCTCACATTGATATTTCTCTCTCCCTCTCCCTCCCCTGCCTCCCACTCTTAGCTGAAGATAAATGTGGGAAAGAAAGTATCCTCAGGTGAGGATTAAAAAAAAAGTTGTAACTCTCTCTACAGTGTAAAAGTAAATGTACAGAAGTACTTTCTGTAATGGAGCCATCAGCTGCCTTCATTCTCCTGTGACAGCCTAGCAATAGGGTCTTTAAAAGGGCATCATGAAATGGGAGGTACAAGCAGGTCCTGTGTGTGTGTGTGTGTGTGTGTGTGTGTAGTGCATGTGATCTGAGTGCTGTGCACCCTCATGCCAGTGAAGCAGGATCATGAGGTTAAAATATGAAAATAATAGTGATCAGGTTGGTAGCTGTTATTAAGTGTTTAATGCAGTAAAATATAAAGCTTTTAGGAAGAGGCCTGACAGAGGTGGTACCATTACTGTCATTTATTTGGCAGAGCAAGAAAACATCCTAAAAGTTTGCAGTTACTAAAAATAAAGCCTGACGGAAATCATTTTAGAACCGCCTCTGAGAACTTGACCTGTTAACACCTTAAATCAAGAAGCATGTTATAAATTGTTCTTATTGGGCTGAGTCTTAGCAGCAGTGTGGCTCTGGCCCTAACATACTCCAGGGTCATCCCTGTTGTTCAGTTTTCTCACATTAACAGAAAGCTTTTGCTTTTGAATTGTGCCCTGTTGTCAATCACTGTCATAAAACTTGGCCATTTCTATGAGTACTTCAGGGATTGCATTTCTCAAAAAGTTACACTTTTCATTTTTATTCCTAAATCAATGGACTTGACTACAGATTTTAGACTTCATGCATGTGATACAGTGAGCATTTAGGAGAAAGTTAAAGGACTTGTCTGACCTTTACCTAAATGATAGTACTATAATTTAAAAAATAAGAAGTTGAGATTTTATTCATGATAGCATTCCTAATGTAATTGAATATTAAATAAATAATATGGTATAGTCAATCATATCTCAGGATCCTTGTGGATATCAACAGGCCTCATCAAACATGAAAAGTACCAGCATCTACTCTCTAAGCCAGTTCTCCTTAGTTGAATTTAATCATGTAGACATTGGACAGTGATCTGCTCCCAAAAAGAGAACTCTTTACCGTGCAGATCTGAGTTCCCTTACTATTTCATTGACAACATCTAGAAGTGTTCTAATTCCCCAGGAAACAGTATCATGTAATGGGACTGACTCATGTACTGTGAGCACCCTGAAAGTGGTCAGGGTGCAGGTTCATTTGTTCCAGGTAGTTATAGAACCTCTTTAAGCTCAACTGCACAGAATTCTTCTTCTCCTTGGTCCAGGCCTAGAGTTTTATTTAGCCATGTTTCAGCCAAATTTAATGTCCTATTGAAGGGCATCAGAGCATGCCTCGTCTGTTTTGTAATTCTCTTCACCATTAATGTCAGGATAGGTTGGATTATGCTGCAGTAAAAAACAACTTCCAAGAGGGTGGCTTAAAATAAAAGTTTATTTCTATCTTATGTAAAACCCACTGTGGGTTTACACGACTCTGGGAAGCTGTCCTCCACAAGCTGGCTCAGTTCCTTAGGTTGTCTTGGTCTCCAGGCACCACTGTGGCGACACAGGTTTCCATGATTGCTATGGAAAGGCAAGAGAGGCCTGGAGAATCAAACACCTGTAGTAAAATGCTTTACCCTGGAAGTGACACACAGTTCTTTACATTTCATTTGCTAGATCTGGTGACATGGTTACCTGACTTTAACAAGGGTAGAGAAATCTAACCCCTCTGTATTCACAAGTAGATGAGTACTGGCTCCTGGTGAAATTGGTAATAATCTGTCATGCCATTCTAAATAAAATTGTCACCATTGCAAGAGGTATATATGTTTGTAAAGTCATTTTTAATGAAGGTTGTAGTAGAGGTTATAGAGGTACCTTGTCTTTCCAGGTCACAACCAGAGTGACTGTGGAAAAGAGCTCTGGACATCAGTCTGGCAGTTGTACTTATCATAAACCATTATAAGTCACCATGAATGAGTTGACCTCTAACCTCTGTTGGTCCTCATTTCTGCCACATAGAATTGCGAAGTCTAAATAATCACCTGATACGTGGTATAGTGCCTGGCTCGTAGGTGATCCCAGATAGCAGACATTATTATTCCTGTTCAGGTAATATTTATAGTCTTATTCTGTTTCAGTTTACGAAGAAGCTGAATTTCCAGATTCTTCAAAATTACCATTGGTGCTGTAATTATGGACATGTCCAAAGGCTTTCTCATCAGTCGGTCCTACAAGGCGTTCATCATTCTAACCCTAGCACTGAGGCCGGCAGCAGGCCTGCAAGTGAGGAAGTGGAAGCTAAGTAAGCTGGTCAATGGCAAAGACACTTTAAAACTTGAAGCTTTGAATTCTAGTAACTGCCTATTTATTAAAATAAATGATGTAAGGATTTTATGATGTTAATTACATCAAGGACATATCCTGAGCTTTCTAAAAATTTTTATTGTTGACACTATTAAAGATGTCCCCCATTTCTCCCCCTGCCCACCTCCACCCAGCCCCCGCCACCCCTCCCCTGGCATTCACCATGCTGTTTGTGTTCGTAGGCTATGTTTTTTGTTTGTTTGTTTTCTTTATTGATTTTAGAGAGAGAGGAAGGGAGAGGGAGAGAGACAGAAACGTCAATGAGAGAGAACATCAGTTGGCTAGCTCCTGCATGCCCCCCACTGGGGATCTGGCCCACAACCTGGACATGTGCCCTGACTGGGAATTGAACCGGTGACTTCCTGGTGAATGGGTCGATGCTCAAACACTGAGCCACACCGGCTGGGCTGTGTTCATAGGCTATATATAATTTCCTTGGCTCCTCTCTTCATCTTCTTTTACCAGTTCTCCCTCCCTTCTCCCCTCTGACCTCTGTCAGACTATTCGATGTGTCCATGCCTCTGTTTCTATTTTGTTCAACAGTTTATTTTGTTCATTAGATTCCACATGTAAATGAGATCATACGGTATTTGTCTTTCTGTGACTGGCTTATGGAGCCAGTCACAGAAGCTTTTAAGTAATTTCTCATTGTACCACATATTAGACATTGTTTCTCTACACCAGGACATGCATAGTAAATACACCTCATGGCCTATGTTCATTCCTGGCATACTGGCTGTTTGGCCCTTCAAGAAGCTATTAAAATGTGAATGAGAGTGACATTATTAGAGATATAGTCTTGAATCTGTTCTCATATCTAAAAAGTTGATTGTATCCAGATTAGTGACAAATGCCCGTTGTCATGGCACTCCATTTGCAAACTGCTGCCTTAGACATTGTACTTTCTGATAACGTTAGAAACCAGTGCTTTTGGACATGATCACTGGGACTCGAGGGAGCCATTCTGGGAGCAGCAGGCTCGGTGCCTAGGGAGTGCCATTGTCTCTGGAGAGCACCCCTGGGTTGTGCGGTGCCCAGCGGCCCTGCTTAGAAGGGAGCCCAGTGACCCAAAGCCACGGAGAAATTCTCCCTGCTCAGAGGGAAGGGAAGACTGCAGGGAAATGATCCCAGAGTTTGGAGTAAAACTAAGTTGCTGGATAGAGAGACACTAGTTCCCAGAGTAGGGGGTGGCTCTATGGCAATGGCTGTGATTGTTATCATTGAATTCAGTACACTTACAACGGAGTTTGCTGAAATGTACCCAGCCCTAAATCTTTCCAAGCACACTTCTAAGCAGGGGAGTGTTCTGTTGGCCAGTGATAAGAGTATCACTGGTAAGACCAACACCTTCTCTGAGCTGCGTATCAGAAATTGATATAGGTGAGAAAACTGAAGGTTTTCGTTTACTGTGCATATAATATAAATAATATGAGCGTTAAAACCTTCTGTGGAGTCCCGTTGTTTAAAGCAACCCGAGGCCCTGTTTGTAACTTAAATGTAGACTCGGGGTTTCCATTTCCACTGCTGCAAAATTAAAGAAGGCTAAAGGGTGTTCTTTATCCACCTGCCTCCCTCCCTTTACCTGCTCTGAAGCCTGTCTGTTCCTAGTGGGCTGTTTCTGAGATATGATTCCTTCTAGTGGTTCAGTTACTCACTTAGGACCCTGGGAACACGTGAAGAATACAATACTTGGGAAATGAGAGGAAAGAAAAAAATTGGGCCAAGAGGAGAATGGGAACAGAACCATGTTGAAGTAGGGCAGCCACCCTTTACTCTCCTACCCGGGCCTCATTTGCACCACCCAGCCTCACCCTCCTCAGCTCCCAACCATGTTCCAGACCCTGAGAATGGGAAACGGCAGATGATCCTGTGCATGTGCTGGCTACCTGACAGTCCATTCGAAAACTCTGTCGTCAGCTTAGCAGCCGAGAGAGGGAAGGAAAGGAACCAGGCAGCACATTGCAAAGCCTAGCCGGAGAGAGGTCTGTCTGTCGACGGAGAAAGGCTTATGCACGTTTCCTCAGGGGGGCTCGGGGTATTTGGACAAAAATATTCTTTTTGTGGGCCATCCTGGACACGTAGCACCATGCCCTCCGAGATGAAAGTAGCAATCCTCTGTGATGTGACAATCAAAACACCCTACATTTTCAGTCCCTCCCCAGGGATGCAGTACTGCCTCTAGTTAAGAACCTCTCATGAAGGGTTCATCACGGTGCAAACCAGAGAGCCGCATGGAAGAGGAGGGGGTGGGATGTCCCGTGGACATGTGTGTCTTCAAGGTGGGTGTCTAGGACCCAACACTGACACGCTGGCATGGACCTCCTACAGACGACATGTAATGGATACCCTATGTATCTTCTAGTGTCAATATATAATCAAAATGATATATAACCATAAAATAATGCTTTTAATAAACATACCATAATATTCATATCCATATGAGCTTTGTTCTTGAAACAACACATGTTTGGTGATGCTGTAATGGCACATGTATTATCTCAAGCCTCACAACCTGTAAGCAGGTCAATATCTCCGTTCCAACACCTGGAAACTGCCGCTTAGCAGAGCCGCTTTCCCAGGTGTTGGACGAGGACGGGCACAGGAGAGGCCTGCCAGAGCCCGTGCTTCGCGGGGGCCTAACGCAGTGCCAGGGTGACTGAGTTAGTGCCTAGGGATGGCAGGTCCCAGACAAGATGTACCCCCTGAACTTGGAAACAAAGTGAGAGTTCAGGTTCAAATTAGAATAAAAAAGCATCATCAAGATAACCACTTTACGAAATGACTTGGCGTGTTGCAGGTGAGTCCAGGGTGCCTCACCCCATCCAGGAGAGCTGCGTCCTTGGGATGAACGCCTGGGATGCGGCCGACGCGAACAGCGCAGCCGCGCCTGGCGCTCCTGAGATCGCCTCAGAGCAGGGCCGTGGAGTTTCTCTTTTTCTTTTTTTTATCCTCACCCGAGGACATTTTTCCATTTTAGTTCAGATAGAGTGGGAGAGAGAGAGAGAGAGCAACATCAACATGAGAGGGACACATTGAGTGGCTGCCTCTCACAGGATCCCAACCAGGGCCGGGGATGAACCGCAACCGAGGTACATGCCTTGACCAGAATCGAACCCTCAACTCATTGGTCTGTGGGCCGACGCTCTAACTGCTGAGCCAAACCGCCATTGCAGGACCGTATAGATGAAAAAGAGTGGACCAAAGGGCATGTATCTAGTACTATCTAAGGTAAAAATTATCAGCTCCCATAAACTAGTGTTCCCCTTCCTGAGGGCAGTGGGCAGCGTGTGGAGCCAGGTGCCCAGGTTGACCCTGGATATTAAGATCTTTCAACCCTTTGATCAGACTCTTGATTCCAAATCAACCTCGCCTGGTAAAACCTCAGCCTAGATTTTTTAACACTGTCTGGCACATAAAAACATTCTAGTTTATCTGCCATGCATGGGTTCATTCCTTTACTAACTCCCCACTAAGTTTTTTCCCTCCACTCCTCTCTGGCTCTAAAATTCTTCTAACCTGGACCCGCATGAGTGTACTCATGGATTCAGATAGACGGATCTGGCTCTCAGCTGCGTCTTTACACGTGGAAGCCAGCAATACACACTGTCCTGTAGGGAGTAACTGTCATGCAGGGTGACAGCGGACAGTCTATTGCTTTCCAGATTCAAAGCGCAATTTTATGTTATTTGAGGCCCAATAGATTTATACTTAGAAGAAGAAAAGAGGTGTATCTCATTTTCTTTCAAGGTAGCCGGGATGCACAGTATCTACCTTTTACTGGTCTTCCTTTGCTCTGTGCCCTCGCACAGTGAAGTGTCTTCCCGTGAGCAGCTGTGTCCTCTCACTGTTTGGCTCTTTTTCCTTCTTTTAGCGTTTGACTCTGGACTTTCCTTCCAGATGAAAGACTTTCGAAGTAAAATGCAGTCAGTGTTTCCAGCAATTCCCAAGCACTCCGAACCTGCTGCCGAGTGGGAGGAGGCGCTGAGACCCAAGTGAGAGGAACGTGGTGAATGATTCCAGAACGACGCCCCGGCGAAGGGCCTGGCTGATGTCTCCTCGGGAAGACGTGCCGGGTGTCGTCTGAACCCGTGGCGGGCGACCCTGGGTGTGTTCCACAGTCCTTGTGCTTGCTGCAGAACCCCGGTGTGCATGTGCACGGGGGTGTGGGGTGGGGGGGTTCAATTTTCCCAAAGTTAGGAAGACTTTAAAAATAAATACATGGATAACCTCTCTATGGAGAAGATCCTGGGGAAATACTTGTTTACGACTGTGACAGTTGGAACTAAGTTTTGTACCTGAGAAAACTGAATAATAGCCTGTGATGGAAAATCTTTATGCTGGATTCCTACCAGCAGCACCTCAGTGTGTCTGATTAAATGAGTCTCCAGAGTCTTTCCTGTCCGTCTGTGACTCAGACGGCTGCTCCTGCTGGGCGGCCTCCAGGGGACAGGCGAGGGAATCCGAGCCTGCGGCGGGGCTGGCCTTCCAGGGCCGGCGACCCCGCCTGTGTCCTGCATAGTCTCACATTGGGACGAGAAGCCAGTAGCACATCTTAGCTTGGGAAGGTACAGCTATGCTAAAATCAGAATAATGACATCATGGGTATAAAATGTATTATACTGAGAAACTGGTTCTGGGTCTCTAAACATTAACTGACAGTTTGTAGTTTTGTCTCAGTTGTCAATGTACACATTGCCCAGTTATCAGCTATCCAAACAAGTATTTTTAACCAGCAAGTTACCTGAGCAGTAAGTCTCAATATTAAGTATTTAGTACTGCCTGCTGATGAAACTGGTGGATTTTTACATACACACCCAAGCTTTCCTGTCCTCCATGAGCTCCTCCAGAAAACAGAATCATGTCTCATTGGAATTATTTGTATTGGAGATTTAAATGTTTTAAAGAAAAATAATATGTCCAGAAAAATAACCTCTGATTGAATATCAAGTGTGCAATTTTTTTTATCATTGTTTGGGCTCTAATTAGCAATCAGGTTTAATAAAGTATGTTTGAACTTAATCTGTTATAATGAAACTCTCTAGTTCTAAGGAAAAATTTTAAATGAAGTGTGAGCATGTAGCATATATACATTTTTCTCTGGACCACATTACCCTGTTAAAACTGCTGTATTATGAATTAATTCTGGGATCCGTATGTAACCTGTTAAAAATCCCAGACTACACAGAAAGGACTGTAGAGTAACAAAATCTCTTCACCCACCTTTCATTTTTAACTAAACCTCCGCTAAGATTTCTAGCTGTTGCTTCACGACCTCCTGGGGAAGTTGCGGGTGGAATCTGACCAGCCCCTTGCTCAGAGGCAGGGAGAGACAAAGAAGGGCCACTCCAGGTGGGCGGGTGGCAGGGTCACTGAGCAGAGGGACTTCCTGACGAGGCTTGTCTTGGGCGGCCACAAGACTGAGGAGTTTTTTTATTTTTTTATTTTTTTATTTTTTTTATCATCCTCACCAGAGGACATTTTTCCATTTTTTGTTCAGGTAGAGTGGGAGGGAGAGAGAGGGAGAGAGAGAGAGAAACATCGACGTGAAGGGACACATCGAGTGGCTGCCACCCGCACGACCAACCAGGGCCGGGGACAAACTGCAGCCGAGGTACGTGCCCTTAGCGGGAACCAAACCCGGGTCTCTCCGGACCGCAGGCCGACGCTCTAACCGCTGAGCCAAAGCGGCCAGGGCTGGGCTGAGGAGTTTTTTATATCTGTCCGTGCAAGTTTTTGTAGAGGCCCAGACTGGGGTCAGTCACTGCACTGTCCATCTAGTTTCAGCGCCACATTTCTGTCCGAAGGCTGGATCCTTGCAGAGCTCGGAGCTGAGAGGTGCAGAGCATGCGCTGCAGGGACGGGCGGGGGGGGGGGGCGCGCTCCGGTAGCCCAGGTCCAGCCCTCAGGGCAGCCAGCCAGCAGCCACATCGATGACCTCAGCACTAGCCTTTGAACGAAACGACGGGAAGAAAGGCTGCGACCAAACTGAACGAGTTTTTGCCCATATTATTATTCTGAGTCTAGGTTTCCCTAGTAGATGGGGGGGGGGGGGGCTCCCTACCACTTCTTACAGCTAGAATCTAGATTTTTCTTTTTCTTAGATAGAGAATAGTTATTGATTTTTTAAAAGCCCTCCACTGGGCACGAGAAAAAGAATTTCTAGCTTGTTTGGGATAATAAAAGGAAAAATCGTCCTGGTCGGTTTGGCTCAGTGGTTGGAGCGTTGGCCCGCGGACCAGCGAGTCCCGGGTTCGGTTCCCACTAAGGGCACGTACCTCGGGTGCAGTGTGTTCCCAGCCCCTGCTGGGGTCGTGTGGGTGGCAAGCAGTCGATGTTTCTCTCACATCGATGTTTCTCCCTCTCTCCCTCCCACTCTATCTGAAGATAAATGCAAAAATGTCCTCGGGTGAGGATAAAAATAATCAAATTAAACAAAAAAGGGAAAATCATTATTAATCTCGATTCTATTGAATAGGTTCCTGCCTTGTAAGCTTCTTAAGGTAGGGGCTCCTCTCAGGGCCTTGGAAACTTGTGACAGCACCTGCTGCTGGGCTGACGGCAGGGCCAGCAGCCATGCCGGGCGCACTGTCCCCACGGCCCAGCTCGTGGAAGGCCCGAAGGCACGCGGTCTGAATGTACATGGTGCGGCATGCCTGGTGTCTACAAACCCTTTCCACATCTGTCTGTGGTCCCTGCAGGATGGCGGGGATCTCATAAGAATGATGGGAATCGCTTGCGGAGGGGAGTTGGACTGGGACAGAGTCCCCAGAATAGGTAGCAAGCGTAGGCCCTGGTTGCATTTGAAAAGCCAAAATGAAGTAACGGGTGAAAATTAAAAGGAAAACAAACAGTGTGACTGAAGTGGTATTTTTCCGCACTCAGAACTCAGACATCAGAAGATGTAGCATTTGTCTATTCCTTTTATACCACGGCATATTGTTAAATTGGTTAATGGAAAGGAAAAATGTTGAACAGATAATGTTATTCTTTATGTGAAGTACCATCTGTGGATTGAGTTCTGAATGTTCCTGGATATGGAAGAGAGGAAATGTTATGGAATTTCAAGTTTGTCTTCTTTGCTGTCTTTATCTGGGGTAGAGTATGACAAACATAATCACATCTATCTCCCGGAGCATAAAGAGTTTTAATCACCCTATTAACCAGGATGACATTTTTCACAGACTTAAAAAGGAATAGAACAGACATTATCTCCCCATAAGCAATCCATTTCATGGAGGCTGAGCACTAGAAATTTTTTAAAGGCTGCATAACACGAGCCATTTCCATTACGGCAGCTCAGTAAGACTTCGCTGACACCGGCGGAGCGTTAGGCTTTGTACTTAGACTCTCAGTCCCCACAAGAGCTGTTAGCGAAGGCAACACAGAAAACACCGGGCAGAGACGGGGCGACTTCGAGGCCTTGGGATTTATTCAAGAAAGAAAACACACGGATCCTTGTAAGTTATCGGTCTCCTGAAAAATGGATCCATGGGCTGCTGGTGTTTTCAGACTCGAGAAAAGGCAGTTTCTGAACAACCTGGGAATGAAGCGCAGCACGGGAACTACCTCGAGATGCCCAGCGGCCTGTCTACCGGGGATGTGGGTTCTGGGGACGGAGGCCCGAGGCTGCCGAGGCCCCGCAGAGCAGAGGTGTGGCTGCCGGTGACCCTCACTCCGTCTCGCTGACACCAGCTGACCTAGGGGACACCTTTCTTCACCCGCTCGGTCAAAGATGGCACCTAATCTCGTCCGCCGTACATCCCGCTTCATTTCATGGCTAGTAAGGGATTCAACTTGCAAATTAATCATTGCGACCTAAGGGGAAAATATAAGAAATTAAGGGGGGAAGCCCATGGGGACAAAAGTAATTAAAATCTACTATTGAGCTATTTCACTTGGGTCGAAATTTAATCTCCTAGGTTTGGTTTGTGGAGAATGTTGTATATTTCACCTCATTTTCATACATTTTTTCTAAAAGTAAAACAAATAGTTAAATACAAATGAAAATCAGCTAAGTAAAATTAAAAATTCTCCAAATAAATTTCTCATGAATGGTAGAAGAATACACATTGTTTTTTTTTGGGGGGGGGGGAGTGTTGTTTTGTTTTTGGTTAATCCTCACCCAAGGATATTTTCCCATTGATTTTTAGAGAGAGTGGGAGGGAGGGAGAGAGAGAGAGAAACATCAATTGGTTGCCTCCTGTACAACCCAACCAGGGCCGGGGATTGATCCTGCAACCCACGTACATGCCCTTGACTTTAATCGAACCCACAACCCTTCTATCCATGGGCTGACCGCTGAGCCAAACCAGCCAGGGCAGAATACACTTTTTAATAGTATTTTGTCATGTTCACGTGAGGTTTTTTTTTTTTCCTTCCTGCCAAGAATCACTGAATGTCAAGTGTTTGTGTCTCTGTATTGATGCTACCAGGATTAACCATCAGAGGCTGTGATTCTGTGAGAGAAGGGGAAAGGGAGCGTTTCTCACAAGCAGTGACATTCGTCTGTAACGAGTGAGGCTGTTGGCAAATTTTATCTGACGGCAGGTTTTGGAGAAAATTAGACCAGCAGTTACCAAGAAGCGCACGTGTATAGTTTCAACTTTCCTCCCAAGCATTGGCAGAGTGACTTAGTTCAGACCCTTTGCTTCATCATTCGATGAGGCATGATCACTTACTGAAGAAGACACACTGGTAAAAGAATAGACAGGAAAGGGTATGCATGTCTGTAATGGCAGACGGGGTGAAGCCATTCCTCACGGACCCTCCTAAGAAGCTGCTTCCGGCAAACGGGAAGCTTGGTGCCTCTATGGAACACCTGCTACCTGCTGGTCTGAAAACTCCCAACTCACCTTCACGCTGCCGCTGCTGCCAGGCCCAGATGGTTCCAGGTCTGCAGCCCGACAGGCGCTCAGGGACACGGGGGGGCTGCCAGGAGGGGCTCGGGCGCAGACCTGGTCTCCAGCATGCGTGGCCTGCTGGCTGAACGGAGCATGTTGAGAACTGAGTCTAAACGAAAGCTTGAACTTCAGTTCCTACTGAGTTGTGCCAACCTCCGCAGAGCCCCTTTGCTCTGCCAACCTGGGCGATGGGCATGTGCTTACTTTTATTTATTATCACGGGTTGTCTTCTCCAACTGCCCCTGTTACGGGGGCTGAAGCCCTCTGTCTCCTACTCTGAGCGAAGCCCAAACGGTAGACATCCTCATCCAGGAGCTGGAGGGTGGGCATCTCCCACCATGAGCCATCCCCGCTGCCACCCCCTTCGCCCGGATCCTCCCATGTCCCTCACTCCACAGTGGCTCAACTACGTAGAGGTCTGTCAGGTGGGACAGAGTAACCTAAAGCTTTGAAAACCCAGCGCAGTGAACCCCATGCCAAGCTAACAAGACTCTTACAAAGAGAGAGTGGTTAGGGGGCCCTTGCTCTGAGCTTGCCGGGGGCCAGCTCTGGCCTCCTCACAGACTTGATCACAAATGACTAGTTAGCCAGGTGGGAACAGCACGTTATCAAGTCTGCTGACGCCCTGCTTCAGCCACAGCGAGTGACCAGGGCGGCCGCCGCCCTTATCCAGGCTCATCCAGAGCTGGAGGCAGGTGCCAACCTGCAAGATGGGCTCTGGCTGAACAAACGCCGTGCAGAGAGGTCCCCGTGGGACACGTCCGAATGTGCCGTCTCTGACACGTCTGCTGCGGCTGAGTTGAGGTGAGTACTCTTCACAGGAGTACATTTGCTTTCACTTGTCAGTATTTCCAACATTACGGAGGAGCAGGGAGTGAGGGCTAGGCTAAAACACAGGATCGGGTGAGACCCTAGAGAAACAGCTACGTCCCTGAGCGAAGCGGGCATCAGCCTTGCTGGACTCCTTCGGGTAATCAGCCCCTAGTGAATATGAATTCAGGAAGGAAGGGAGGGAGGGAGGGAGGGAGGAGGACAGGAGGGAGGGAGAGGCTGAGGGGAGGGAGGGACTTCCTCATGGGGAGAGGAAGGAAGGAAGGAAGGAAGGGAGGAAGGGGGGGAGGGAGAGAGGAAGGAAGGGGGAAGGAGGACAGGAGGAGGGAGGGAGGGAGGGAGGGAGGGAGGAGGAGGCTGAGGGGAGGGAGGGACTTCCTCATGGGGAGAG